AAAGGGGGGACGAGGGAGAGAAGCACGAGGTCCCAACTTCAAAGGCGGAAAACTGATCGCGATCCGGGATCAGTCGAGACATTCCGGGAGGAGCTGATCGCTGGAGATAAAGAGAAAAAAATAAGTATTGATGCCGGCGGTGATGCGAGACATGATACGAGTAATAACAGGGGGACTGCGCGCAGGGTAGTAATAGCAGCAGTAATAACAAGAGTTTGCGAGGATGTCAGGAAAGATAAGGAAGACATCGCTTTAATGGTATAGTTAATAAAAGATGGGTTGACATAATTAAAAGATAGGAACAAAACGAATAAACAAGAAGTGCACAATCTTTTAGCCTTCACCAAGAATTTACATGTCTTTCCTCCTTGTTCCCAATTACGGGAAAGATCGAGCACCTAATCTGCGGGAGATCCGCGCAAACTTCTGTAATTTGGGAAACAATTATCTTCCGTTTAATTTTTAGTGAATTTTTTTTTAAAGAATAACCATCGTGTCTGGCTGGAATTGAGACTTGTTGAGTTGATATTGAGCCTTCTCTCGCTCTTCTTTTTTTACCTTGCTTTTCTTCCCCTTCCTTTCGAACTTTGCAGATTTGCAAAGTGGACCCAATCCGGCCAAACTTTTCCCCTCTGTTTTGATTTCAATGGGAGAGATTCCACAGGTAGAGAAGCGATTCCTTATCTCATTGAAATCCACCAGAATTTCAAACTCCCGGAGATTCCGAATTTAGGGCAGCGTGAAACTGTATCAGGTTTAGCTGTTGTCATCTGGAACAACTAACCTACTCTCTACATGTCTACTCACAAGTAGGGTCCCTTTAGAGGAGAGAGGAGCTCCGAGGAAAGGTGCAGAATCGAATCCAGCAGTTTTAGCCGCGCTCCTTGGAGAACCGTTTTACCCACTTTTTACTCACAAGTAAGTCGCAAAGCAGGGTCTGCCCCCGATAATGTATTTTACGCCTGCGATCTCACAGCGCAGTTCTATACCAGTATACAGATCTTTAGGCTAACGTTGCTTAGGTTGGAAAGAAAGAAAGAAAGAAAGAAAGAAAGAAAGAAAGAAAGAAAAAGGAAGGAGGGAGGCAGAAAGAGAAAGATTAATGTATATTTAATACCATCATTTAATGTAGACAGCCAATCCGTTTGGAAATGAAACACTTTTGAGTACATCAATAAAACGAATGCTAATAAATAATTATAATAAATGCCTGGATATGTTCTGTCAGAATCAAACCATGTCAAATAGGATAATTACACTCAATCAAATATTCTAGCTAATTTTATTTCACTTCTTTCTTACTAGATCGCTTTCTAACCTTCCTGTGTGTGGAATGTATTTTTTGCGGTTTGCTGTGTTCTATCTCATTATTAATGTTCGTATTATTAATATTCGGATTTTGAGAGGTGGGCCATAGTCTGGAATGGTGGAAAGGTTTCTCTGCTCCTCGTTCCGGCTTTGCAAGGAGTAAACCATTTTTTAAAGCTTAAATTAGGCTGTTTATCTTTTAGAATTTATTTCCCAAGTTTTTAAAAAGATTTTGTTAACCCCTGGGAGGGTCCAAACCCCTTTTTCACGGTTGTGCTACGAGAAAAATTATCTCAGAGGCTAATTACATCCAAAAGCCCATTTCTCACGGTTGTGCTACGTCAAAATTATCTCAGAGGCTAATTACATCCAATCAAGCCTTCAAGTTAATTAATTGTACCTTTTTCCTTATTAGTGCAGGTTTATTAAGAATCAAAAGCGGTTTTGATTCTTTCCGATCTTGCTCAATCAAACGGCTTTTCCTTAGTCTGAAAAGCATTTTAACATATTTTTATTTTCCTGTTAGAAAACAGCAAGAACATTTAAAAATTAAAAAAAAAACCCTTCGTTTCCTAAATAGGTTGATTCCAAATTTAGTTAGAGTAGACCCACCTAAGGCACATCGGGAGACAGCTTAAGAACAAGACATGTCCCTTCTTTTTTAAAAGCAATTCTCCATCCCATAAAATATTTTTGTTTAAAAAAAATTCCGAAGCATAAATCCAACATAAAGCGCAGCTTTCTCTTAATATTGGAAAATTGGTCTCGATTCAGTGTACCTTAATTGTCTCACTTTCCTTAATTCGAAAGGAAGTGAATGTTTCATTGGGTATCTCATTATTATTATTATTATTATTATTATTATTATTATTAAAAAAAACAGAAACACATCTCATTTGAGTGGAGGCTGAGAAGGAAAACATTCCCCGTGGTGGAGTAAAATCTGTTTTATTCATGATGCCAATGGATAGGCAATTTTTTTTAATTTAAAAAAAATTGGGGATTCTGTGTGTGTTCAGGATCCGTGGATTCATCAAGTGCTGAGCAAAGCCATCAGGAGAAAAACTAGCGAGAAAGGACCGAGGGAGAGTCAATCCTGTCCTTAACTACATCTATAGCACAGATTTACCTGGAAGGTAAATCCGGTTCCAATTCAGGAACAGGAGGCTTCCACTCCGAATTGAAATCGGATTAAAAGGCCAAAACTAACCTTCCCAGACCTGCCTGGGACGATTTGTAACTGTAGTACCCATCTACTTGGGGCTAATGGGAACTGTAGTTTCTTAAACGCCTTTGGCGCGATCCAGTGCCCCCCCTTTCTGATCCGGAGTGAAACAGGTTTACATAGATTCCTAGGTAAACCGGTTCAAAGAGGACATCGGCCTTAAAAAAAAAACCGCTGGAAAGAACCGCTTCTTTCTTTTTCTTTGTTTACCTTACTTTTTTGTGATAATAGCCATTATTATTATGCACAATTCGTAATCGCTTTGGAGGATGATGCAACTAAGCTTCGGAGTCACCTCTGTTTCAGAGATCCGGCAGGCAAACGTGATTTTTCTCGCACTGAGACAAACGTTTAACAAAATAACCCATAAAACGCAATTTGTTCTTCTCGGGCGCGCGCAAAAATCAAAGCCTGCGTATCTGTCTGTATCTATTCATATATTTTTTTTGCTGGATCTACATTCCGATGAGGAATTTCTGTCTTACGGTTTCAACGCTTCTTGTCGCGGGGAATCAAACTTGGAAGTTCACGTTCAACCGGTAACTTCTTTGACTGGAAGTCCCCACCGGAAAACCGGTGAAACCAACCTTATTTAGGGGGCGAACGGATCAGAATGGAAACGGCCTCTCTCCTCGCGTCGTCCTTTCAATGGGATTAACTCGAGAGGCGGGATCGATCCCTCTTTCCTCCAAAGTAAACACTGGGGACGTCCTGCTTTCTTGGGAAACCTAGTGGGTAGAACTGTGGGGCCTTTAAATCGGTCCTATTGGAAAAAAATCCAGTTTTAGAAGCCCCGAAGTATGGAGACTGTAAACAGAGCGGGGCAGAGAGCTGGCTCTAGGGCTCTTGCCCCCTGCCGTCTGCACTGATGTAGCAGATACTGTTGGGAGGGTTAGGGATCCTTTTTTTCCCAAGAAAAAAACATGTGCCGAGCTTTAAATGTATCAGGACAAGCTTTGTTGTCTATCCGTTTGGATGTTGGAATTAAATTTAGGGAGGCGGACTTGGAAAGAGAAAAAGAAAGTGTTATATTTATCCATTTGTCTATTTGTGTACATGTTATTTATATGCCATCGTTCTCCCCATAGGCGGCCCTAGGCGGCCACAACCATTAAAAACGATGCAATATTTTTTTTTAAAAAAATACTATTTCAAACTGTATTTTAAAAAAGAAGGCGACAATGGTCATAGCTTTCCACATGTTCTCTCCAGAGGAAGTCTTAGGGCCATGCCAAAGCTCGGAAGGGATTCCATTTTGGACTACAAATCCCAGAATCCCCCCTGCCAGGGAGCGGCAGGATGGTGAAAGTTGTTAGTCCCCCCCCCCCAAAAAAAGGAATCTTTTTAAAAATCTGGGGAATGCCTTCCGTAAGTCCAACGAATAACTTGAGCGGGCCGTGAAGGGCAGAAGTTGAAAACGTCTTTGGGGGGGAGGTGTGAGGGGAGGAGGGACAAGGGTTTTGGAGGATTTTGGGATCTGTAGTCCAAACAAAGGTAGGTTTCCAAGCTCTGCGGGTAATGCTAGCCCGCAGCTCGCTACCCAAACTCGGCCTTCTTTCGAATCAAGTGAAGCTGCGTAAAAACGCGCCGCAGCATCGCGCGGTTGCGCACGAAACCCAGGCCCCTTTCCAACGCCCGCGGTGTGAGGATCGGGGCCGCCTGGGCTTTACTCTTCCGAGGGAGGGCAGAGGAAAGTCCTGCCCCCTACCTGGGAAGGGTCCCAGCAAGCGTTATTGGCTTTTTCACCGCTTTTTTCCCCCAGAAGTTGGAAAGCTCTAGAGAAGGCGAGGGGCGCGAAAACGCAAAGCACCTGCTCAAGGAAAGGCAGGTTGGCGGGTCCACCTTACTTCTCTCTCCCTCCCCCTTCCTCCATTTTTTCCCCCGTGGAGTGACCGCCGAGAGGAGAGGAGAGTGGCTTTTATTCTGGGTAATTTATACTCCAGCCAAAAAAAAGCCGGGGCCGGATTTTACGGCCCTTGCCTTCAAGGTTCGACTATAAATTAGCCGGTGCGCGAAGCAGCCCGAATCAGGCGGAAAGGGGGAGGGAGAGGGGAAAAAACGCTCAGAAAGAGCCCTTTGAACACCAGGAAAGCAAATTAAAAAGTCCAAAGAAAGAGGAGGAGAGCCGGTGGCAAGGCGAGGAGGAGGAAGAAAGGGGCAAAGAGGGGAGCGCACGAACCCCTGTCCCAGCCTCGCCCTTTCCAAAACGCCTTCCAGTTCCTGGAACTTTGAAAAAAGTCCGACGAATTCAGTGCTGTTCTTTCTTTTCGCCCCTTTCCAGAAAAAAACAAAGGGGTTTGGAAAGGGGCCCTCTTTTAAGATCGAGGACAGCCCACCTCACCCCACCCGCACCCCTATAATGGAGAGGGCTTGCTTTCCAGGGGGGCTTCCTCCCTCCCGAGCCGCATGGGTCGAGTTAGCTGGGGAAAGTTAACTTCAATTTCTGTCCCAGAAAACGGGTGCCTTAAGGGTACCACGAAAGTCTGGGTCGGTTTGGGCGGCCTAAGGCAGCGCAAAAAGCCAGGTTTAACCTCATGGAACGTGCTCAAAATACACATATTCTCACTTGCGCACCAACAAGCCATACGCACCGGGGAAGACTGGGCGACCAGCGTTTAACTTATCCTTCTGTGAACATTTCCCACTCTGGCTTCGCCCCCCCCCGCAAGCCCTCCCACCCGCTTCGCATCTGCCGGGTCTTCCTTCTTACGAGGTGGAAAACTGGATCAAGGTCCCACACATGGACCACTTCATTTCCTTCTATGGCCAGCTCTTCTAAAGGCCAGGAGCGGAGGCGGGCGTGATGACAAGTTGTGATGATGAGGATGATGGTGACAGTGCAGGGAGTCCTGGCAACAACACTGAGCCCAAGATGGATTGATTTACTTATTTACTCACTTATTGATTGATCGATCGATTACTTTCTTCTCTTCCTCCTCTTTTTAATTTTTTTTATTTTTTGGCAAGGCCTATGAAGAGTTCTGTAAGACCTCGAAAATTTCCAAATTTTGGATCATAACTGTTAAAGAAATTTCCCGCGGTGCATTTTGCCCTTGTCCTAGACGAACAAAATTGACTTGAAGGCATTTTATTATTATTATTATTATTATTATTATTATTATTATTATTATTATTATTATTATTATTATTATTATTATTATTATTATTATTATTATTA